TCTGTGAGAAATTAATTAATTTTCTTCTGGAAAATGGAAATCGTTTTAATAATATTAAGGAATATATAATTTATATAATGCTCGTTTTAATAATATTATAAAGGAGTATATAATTTATAGTGTTCTGCGCTCTCTTTTCGAGATTTATGTTAGAGAGCATCATTTATGAAGAATGTTATCTGCAGTCATAAAATTATCGTTGACCCTAACGCGTATATAACCTGTGATAACCGGATTAAATATATAATTTTGATACATTAAACAATCAAATTCTAATATGAAACTACAACATTTTTTACATCAACGTTAAAAATTAATAAATTAAAAAATAATCCATTAGACAATATATATATATATAAGAGATTTATTCTAAAGCAGTACAGAAAGGCCGAACATGTAATAATTTTAATCAATTAGAATATAATGATATTTATTATATAATGTACTCTATTTTTTCAACATAGTAATTTAGACTCTTACATGCCCTTTATTATATTTGTTTATTTAAATAATTTTATATATTTTTAAATCCTATGATCGGCTTCCATAAAATATCTATGAAAAATCTGATTTTTCTCCTATGTTAATTAATTAAATAAAAACAAACTAATTATAGCTTACATTAAACAATAATGAATAGTTATTAAAAAATGCATATACGTTTAGTAATAAGTTATCTTATTAACAGATGTTCTGACTTTTATACAAAAATACACATTATTAAAACATTATCCAAAAACTTAAAAAGATCAAACGCAAATCTGTTTTATGGCAAAATAGCGAGAATTGTATTTTTTTATTTCAGCCTCGTATGCTCTGCTTCCCAAAGTGTCGTATCCGAATAAGTTGCCTTTCCCCTTCTTGCGAACACGTATGATGTCATCGTATATGGGGTCATTTGTACATAAAGGGGCTACTGGCACTTAAGTATGCGTTTAAAAGGCGGAAGAGTGGTTATAGGACCAAGTCATACAACGCACATGCACGTAAGCGTACAACAAACGTTTAAGCCTTGACAAATAAAAAGAAAGAGTTCGTTTCGCGCAAAAAAAAGTTCATTAAACGTCTAAAACTTTTAAGCAGTAAACGATTAAATATTTCAGAAATCAAAACTCTCACTCTCTCTCTTTTCAGAAATATATTTAGTAATACAATTTTTTTAAATTAAGATTTCTATAATTAAGATTTCTATCTATAAAACTTTAATTACTTTAAAATTTATTATGATTTGAGCGTTAAGTTGTCTTTTACAACTTTTAATTATTTTTATAACAAATTTGCTTGTGTTATACATTTGTGACGCCCCTAAATTAAACGATTTTCGTTTTAACTAATAAGTCTAAATTTAAAACGTATTAGGATAATACAAAGAGTATTTTATAGCACCAATATTTCATACCCAAAATCTAACAGACTAAAAATAAGTATTTTAGAGGTAATACGACCCTTCTGCAGATCATTGCTCTTTAGACGTACGTAAAGAAGGGTGAGGCCCTAAATGAAAAGAATGAAGCATGAAAACATGGACGGCTAATATTTGCGAAAAAAAATAAAATCGTAAAGAGATTATTAGACAAGTCTGTTAAAAATAAGCGAAAGAAAAATGAAGATAGCCGAAAAATATGCAATAAACAAGAATTATTATTAACTTGAAGATTAAAATGTAACGATAAGATGTATCAATTAATTAAACAATACTCTATAAATTCTTTGGAGTGGAATCTCACTTTAAAGAGTGTGAAAATTGAGCCAGTTTTGAAAAAGAGTAATCAATTTTCAATCTTTAACGGTGAGATTCACTCTATAAATTTTAGAGAGTAGAAAAAAACACTCGAGAGATGATATTCAATTTCAATAAATTATTCTCATTACATATCGGATTCATATATACATTTTCTATGTTTAACATAGCGTGTATAATAAATTTTTGCGAACAAGAAATATTTTTCAATTTACATGTTTAATGAATACTTTTAGCATCGAGAATCTCTCGCTCGCTCGCTCGCTAATTAACCGAGTTATTGGATTCCATATTCGAAGCATAAAATGAAGAACTACCGTAAAACTGAATAAAGTGTTGTATTGACAACCATCAGTTATTGGTATGCGCAACTTTATAAAGAAATTAGCTTGACAGTAATTTAAAAAATACAAAAGAAAAGCAAAGAAAGCAATCGAAATTGCTTTGTAATAAATTCATTGACGTATATTAATATTAAATATTTAGAGCTATATTACTACAAAAAGTATAAAGAAAGATGTAATATGGAATGGACTTGTATTTTGTTCTTTTTTGTGTATTTTTTACTTATTTTCAAGTCAATGATATCGCAAACAATAATCTATTAATCTAAGTTTAATATAAAACACACTTGAAATAATTAAGACAGTATATAAAATGGAAAAAATTGTTTAAATGAAAAAAAACATTCTGATGTAACTATCTAAATGTGCTGATAAAGTGAACTTCCTATATTTTTACAGAATATAATTTCTTCAGATTTATTTATACTTCCAAATAGTTTGAATTTATAAAAAAAATTCTGACTGTATTGACAACGAGGTATTATCAGATTCAGAAATTTCTTTTCATGAACATGTTCTCTAGTAATACTCTTGGATTGATCTCGTTTTCGTGAACGTTTAACCATCATCGAACACATCTTTCCAGCTTCGCAAATACCTTTAAAGACTTCTCAAAATCATTTTTAAGTGATGATTATAAAGATTTTTTAACGAAAAACAACGCTCTACAATGCCCTTGTTATTTAATTATATCCCAGCAAAAATATTCAAGCTTTTTTACCTACTCAAAATAGAAGAATAGCATTTTAAGAATTAACCATGTTCGGGTCTTTTTTGACCCGAGCGTTTTTAAAAAGTTCTCGTGGTATTACAATATTGTCAACAAAAAGATCAAGTTTTGAATATAGTCAATGATATATGATATGAACACGGGTGGAGGGTTAATATGATATTAACTCGTTACTTAAGAATTTAAACCGTATTAAACTAGATATTGACAATCATACGAAATAATTTTGATATACCTCGTAATAGATAAACATTAATTGTCAATAAAAAATCGCACCAGTCCAATGGCTGCAATTGTTTCACAACTTCAATACCTATCTAAAAACAAGTTAAAGATGTTTTAAAAGAAATGATGTTTAACAAAATTTTAATGCAGAACCCACATTACCAAGGCAGGCGCCTACATTATAATCACCTTTTTCTCTAATATTTTAATAAAAACTAAAGCTATCCTTTTTTAACTTCAAAACTAGACTTCTATTAAAATATTATTACAAATTTCTCCATTCCATTTTACCTGAATAATCAAACATGTGCGAACAATCTTATCTTAAACATTTTTTAGATTTATTAAGATTGTTATTAATCATGCGAAATATATTCGTTATTTAGAAAATTTTTACGGAATATCCTGTGTAATGTAAAATATCCTGTGTAGTATAAAGTCTCTCTCTGTCTCGTTCTCTTTCCTCATATATAAACTTTGACCTTACTCTCAGGCACGAGTCTTCTTTTTTATGGATATTTTTACGCTGCGGATGTTGGCTGCCAATCTCGCTAAGAGTTAATCTTAAAATTCTACACGAATTCGATATATAATTCGATTATATTACATCATATTAAAACTATAGATACATAAATTCGTTATTCGATTACCAAAAAATATGTACTTCCTACTGTAAAAATCCTAAATAAATATTTACTACTCTATGCTTATTTAAAAAACTATTCCTGTTTTATCTGCGATTTTTAAAATTAATTGTAAAATCAAGCAATTTTCAAGACTAAAATCCGTGAACAAACAAATAATCTCAACGGACAGAAGCTCATAAAACAATGTAGTCTAACAGCTGACAAGCAACTCGTCACAGGTATACAAGAGCCCTTTTAGTCACGGGAGTTCTCAAGGGAGAATTCTTTCATTGAAACGATTTTTTTCGTGGAAAGCCGTCCCGGCGTTTTCTCAGGAGGGTCGTCGTTTGCCGCACATTCACGTATTGTGAGGCTCCCTATTGTGAGTACTGTATCCAGTACGTACAGTAGCCTAACAACAAAAGGCCAAGCGGTCCATTCCGCATGCTGTGAACTCAGATACTCCCGTGAAGAAAAATCAATTGTCAATGTTCCCATTGTCGGTATGAGGAAAACTGTGCTTTCTATACTGTGCGTTCTTCTTTCTCTTCTTTCTCCGAAAGCCTCGTTTCATTTCGAATGCAGAAAGTTTCAAGAAAGTGCTGCTGAAAGACCCACTTCTCATATTTATATGCTTAAAACAAAACGCCTTTCATTCTGTTAATTCTGCATTGTCTATTTGTGTGTGTGTGTGTGTGTGTATGTGTGTGACTTGCAAAAATATATTAATTCGTAAAATTCAAATGTGAGTCATACAGGCCTACTCGAGATAAGAGGTATTTTAAATTCAATTTACTCGAAGTACCGTTTAACAAATTAATTAAACTTCGTGTAATACTGTCCAATTACATTGTTGCAAATTAAATTTTTCATTAAACTTGTGAACAGTAATTGAAATTTTTTCACCAGAAACGCTCGTGAAAACTTAACTACTCCTATCGTGTTCGGAATTACTATTGACATTGAAACAATTGTCGCTCCAACAGATAAGTCTTTGATGCTTATCAAAAGTGAATTGACGATTTTGAAACGCACTGTATATGCAATAGTCGCACCCTTCAGATGAATTATTGCAATCTTCTTGCAGAGATTTGCAGAATAATATCTGCCTGGATTACATTCAGAATGAAGAATCATTTTTAACATTGACGTTGTACCTTTGACATTTTATCCTTCGCGACTATTGAGCTCTATTTCGATTGTAGAACATTCTCTGTTCCTCTCACCCTCTTTCTCTCTCGCTTTATTCCATGCCGAGAATAACGAACCGCGAGATAGCGATGAGAGCGGTGTCAGCGCGCAAAAGGAAAGCGCGAGTGAGGTAAAAGACTCACCGAAGTACTTGTCCGGTTCAAGACCCGAGTCCTTGTCGAGGCCGCATATGACAAAGTAATCCGCGAATCGCTGTGGATGTTGCTCCGGACCGCGCGTTATCCCCAGACTCCCGTTCATTTTTCCCGACTCACGGATTTGCAGCAGCAGCAGCAGTTGCGACGCGCTGCCGCTCACCGCGGGCCACCTCGACCGTCGCCGCCGCCTTCACGAGATTGATTTCCACATCGTGCACCACACCGATGCGGCACTGTCACTTCACTTCAGCCGAAACAACAGCTGAGCGAGCACGCTGCGTACAACCGCGTCGCGCACAGAACAACGCACAGTGCACACTGTGCGCTCTGCGGAGCGGAGCGAAACGGCAAGGAACAGTACGGAGCAGAGTAAAGCGGTGCGGAGCGAACTGGCCGCAAATAATTGATCTCTCACCGCGGCGCTTGAAGTTAGCCGCGCGTCGTGCGCGCCGCGTCGGCGCCGCGCGTGGCCAACTTCAGCGCCGCAGTAAGATTTTGGCGCGCGATTTGATTTCGGAACGGAAAATGTCCGTTTACTTCATCGATCGTAGGTGCTTCCCGATTGAAACTTACGCCGATATTCATAGTCAGATCTTATATTCAAGACCATCTTAAGTTTAGTTTTGAGATGTCACGAACCAATCAGAGAGCCGCATTAGTGTCTTAAGACATTACTTAAGACGGTCTTGAAATAAGAACCGACTATGAATATTGGCATTAGACACACTTTCGTGCACACAGCAACACAAGTTGTATTCCAATTGCCGCAACAATCGACACTACACATTCGTATTCAGCCCGAGAGCTACTAGTCGGCTGTGTAATTAAACTTGTGTTAATTCTATAATAATAATTACATGTTATTAAATGCGACGGCCATAAATGAGGTTGCAGGATATTGGTAACCGGTATTCTTATTTTTTTTTATTCAATACAAGCAGAAAAAGTTACATTTAATCTAACTTTATCTAAACCAGATCATGTACAGCATTTTGTTCCATTTAAATCGTGTATTGCTGCACTTAATTTTTACATTCCCATGTACGTTTGTGTTAAAATGTGTTAAACAATTAAAAAGCACTCCGTATTTCCTCACAATACGATAAAGTTACCAGACATATTATTGTGAATAAACTGTCTATCTTGACTAGGAAGTAGCGCGAGAACCTCCTTAATAATTGCTGAACTCATTCGCTATCGCAAAATTTGCAAAAATCCCTCCAATTGGCACTATTGGCAGTATTGAAAGCTGCCACGCCACCTATCTAACCTGTCACGAATACACACGTATATACATATGCGTACGTGCGCGTGCAAGTGTCCGCTCGCGAGCGCTTGTCACGCTCGCCGGAAGGTTAGATCTCGATGATTAAATCGAGCCGGATTTCATAAACACGCGATACAACGGGGCGGTAGCGGCGCCTCAGAGTTTTCATCTTTTTACGTAGGATGGAGGAGATCGACAATATAATAATTCACTCGTTGCGACAAATAGGCTGGTAAGTATCCAGATTCGCATTCAGCGGCTCCGATCGGTTCGCCACTGGTTTTTTCCTTGCGGCAGTGATAAAGTGGGCGGTGTTTCCGCGATATCCTCGCGAATAAAAGTATCACGCACGTGAGCTCATCCGTACGATCATTTTCTTGCGACATCGTTCAATTGTTGATGTCAAAACGGATGAGAACTATTGAATGTTAATATTAAGAAAAATATCAATATGACACGAAAAATCTTATAAAAATAAGAATGACATAGATACCTTCTATCTTCCTGCCTTGAAGGAACTCCAGAAGATACAGTCTCTTATGACTCCTGCATCTCTCAGATCGCGAGAAATCTTATAAGTATAAGAATGAAATAGACGATATCTTGTCTTTTTGCTTTAGAAAAAATTTATAATGTACCACCAGTCTCGAGTGTAAGTCTGTTTTTTTTTTATAGCTGAACTAGTATATACTTTTTTTTACTTGAAGTGAAATAGGTATATGTTTGGCAAAAGCAAGAAGGAAAGTTCTAAAGTAGTAATAAAAACCTTTTGACTCTTGCATTTCTTAGTTCCTTGATTATTACAAGTAAATATTTCTTTTCAGTGACATTGAAGAGTACGTAACGAATCTTAGTAGCTTTAACACTGAACTAGTTGTGGAAGCCACTGTAAGATGCTTAGAAGCAATAAGGCCGGGTTTAGGTTTGTCTACGGTACTACCTGTAAACATGGCAGCGCGCTTTCGACTGGGTGCTACTCTTGCACAAACGTGCATGGTAAATATATTTTGTCTTTTCTTAGATCAGAACGTATCCATTTGATTTTGCTTATTTCCATCAGCTGATCCAAATTACAGGAACTTGGATACAGAGGTGACATTGGCTACCAGACATTCCTATACAACTCAGAAGCAGATCTGCGAAGAGTATTTATGTTTCTCATTGAAAAACTGCCAAAGGAGAGTGAGAAAACCGTAAACGAATCCATCAGTAAAGTCGCTTTATTAGAGAAATCGGTAGCATCTGCAATATTTCAAGGACTCTCCATACCATGGTTACCGCATTATTGTCACAAGCAGGGATTCAGGAATAGAGGAAGAGCGAATGTCCCTTATGTGTCTGTAAATATCGAAGTACCAATAGCAAATATGGAAGATGGTAATGCAATATTAATATTACTTGAATTATTTTTGCCAGACGATGTTGATGCAATAGCAACTGTTATTATTGCAGATTATAAAGACTATTGTATGCGCTATTTACAACCAGTGCCTGAACAAATGCAAGACATTGCGTGCTTTTTACCTTCAATGATATCGTACAATGCGAAAGCGCTTAATACTTCTCCAACAGATATTATGGAACGCATAAATTGGCTTAATAGTCAACAATCTGAAAAACCTGCTTATTCTAATGCGTATAATATTGTCAAAGAGTTTAGCAAATTCTCATCAGAGAACAAGACACAAACTTCAACAGTAAGCATACAAGATACTCTTTTGTTGCACATGTACTTTATAGTCGATTATTAGTTGCTTTCCATTTTCATACAAGTGATACTGAGTCTAAAATTATATGAGTATTTTATACTCAGATAATGACGTCAGTACTTACATTGTTATTTATACCTACATAACAACACAAGTTTATAATCTCACTTTTAATGTGAGTTAACAATACTGAATAAAGCACACGGTTTCGAGGTTGTACAGATTATAGGTAAAAACTCAGTTGAACCTCACTTGCCAGAATGAAAAGGAACATGCATTCAACTGAGTTATGACATCACAAATAAGAATTATCTAAATTTTGATGTAAATAGAAAATAACTATTATATATCTTACATATTCGTTATTATTGTTAAATTTTTAGGAATCTCAGGTGAAACCAGAATCCGTAATGCATCCAGTGCTTCCAGATCAAGAAACGTTAAGAAATCAGGCGAAACAGGAAGTTGAAACAGAAAAGATGAAAACAGAATGCGAAAGTCTTAGAATAAATATAGAAGAATTACAAAACGAAATTAAAAAATTGACCACCAGATTAGCACAAGCAACAATAACTGGTCAGAATGAAGAGAAGGAATTAAAAGTCAACGAGGAACAAAAAAAAATCAAAGCAAAAGCATACGAACTCCTTCAAGATGGGCCAGAGAATGTAAAGAAATTGGAATCTGCAGTTGAGGCTAGTACAAGCAAATTGATTAATTTAGCAAATCAATGGGAAAAACATAGGGTGCCCTTAATTATGAAATATAGGCAAGAAAGAGAGAAACATTCCACAAAAGCAGTAAGTATACAAAATTAAGTAAGTTTTGAGGTAACAAAGAGTCATTTATATTTAAAAAATGATTACATTTTTATTATAGAATGCGAGCCAAAAGAAGCTAGACGAGATAAAATTGTTAAAAGAGAAGGAAAAAGAACTTCAAGAGGAATGTCGGAATAAGGATCAACAGTATTCACAGTTGGTCGCAGAAGTTCAAAAACTTCCTAAGGAAGTGAATAGATCTGCATACACTCAACGAATTTTAGAAATAATAAATAATGTCAGGAAACAGAGAGATGAGATAAGCAAGGTTCTAGCAGATACTCGTGAAATTCAAAAGGAAATCAATACGCTTACCGGGAGATTGGAGAGATCCTTTACTGTCGTAGACGAACTAATATTCAGAGATGCGAGAACAAATGAAGCTTCGCGGAAGGCTTACAAACTATTAGCGACGTTACATTCAGACTGTAATGAACTCGTAAGTTTAGTCGAAGAAACAGGTGCGACAATACGAGAAATTAGAGATTTGGAAGAACAGGTAAGATGCAGTGATTGAAGGATTAAGAAAAGTAGGTTTATGCAGCACAGAAAACTAACATTCAATTTAACATTTATTCAGATCGATTCCGAATCTGCGAAAAACGTCGGTGCTAATTTGGAAAGAATAACTGCCGATTTAAAACAGATGAAACAAGAAACCGCCGCATTAACTGCACAACTCCAAAGTAAAGCCTCGTGATTGTTATGTACAGTGCTGCATCATTTTGCGAATTGTAATGTTCAGGATCAGATGGGAGTTTAGTATAGGTACGAAGCTTATTTTTTTACGATAATTATATAGAGAATAAGAAATATTTAAACATAATTTGAATTCTCTATAAGGTGTTACATAAATTATATAGACATTCTTTTACTGTTTTACAGAATATAAACGAATACGATCGAATACATTAAAGACCAAACATTTTTTAGCTACGCAACCAGCAGAATATAACGCGATATTGCCCGTGAGTCTCCACGAATCTACTAAGTTAGCTGCTAAAAAAAACGTGCCTTGGCCTGGAGTCGTCAGGCATTAGGCTTTTATTAGCCTCGGGCCAAGTGTATAAAAACATGCTGTTAACATCAATGCTCAAGAGACATTATTTGTTATAAAGCCTAATAATTTTTTAGCATCGAGTTCAACTTTCGTATCTCTCGCAACTTGAAGAAGATCTGACTTGCGGCTGTAAATAAAATAACTGCTAAAATATCACTTTCAAACAAAGAACATGTACAAAATATAGAATGTGTATAAGGGTAAAATCAACGTTTAATATTTTATACATACTCTCCTTGAAAATTATTTTCATAAGATAAATATATATCAGACACACACATATAATATCAAAATACAACAAGACAGCAGTTCTGACTTTTTTGTTCTGATCCTCTATACATATGTGTATACATATTCTTTTTTTATATAGTACACTTTTATTTTTTATTTTTAACCTCCGGTGGTATATAAGACTCTGTAGTAATTAAGTTTCTTAAATGCTTTGCGCTATTGTGCATGGCATGAATACGTTCATCTTCTTTGCGGATTTTTTCCTGTATCTTCTCTATTTTTAATTCAATTTCTTC